CGTCCAGCCGTCCCAGAACAGCCAAACACGAAACCTGTCCCGATGCCGCCTTGTCCGAAAGGAGAGCCCATTGACCACAACGGCTTGCGACGGGGGTATCGCCTATCACCGCTCCAGCCGGCCCTACGGCCTGCACGTTGGCATTCTCGAGAAATTTCCCCACTCGATCGGTGGGGTAGGGGGGGGAGGGCTTTTATTCTTGTCGCATGATCATGGGAGGCATGGGTCTCGATCGTGTTTTGTGTCCACAGCCGCTGCTGTGGGGGGGAGAGAGCAGAGCCCTGCATTCAACGACCGAAACCATCGGCTCGTCCTCACTCACCCATAGAGCGACACACCGCACTACAGACCCAACCATGGACAAGGTCCGTCGCGCACTCGTCAACGTTGGCTCTTCCTCGGGCCGCGGAGGCATCGGTACTATTCTCAAGGTCCTTGGTGCGGGTGTGGCCATCGCAGGCCTCGCCTCCCAGTCTTTCTACACTGGTACGTCGGAGGCTGCCGTGGCGACGCGTCGCTTCGTTTAGCTGGCGGGGCGGGAAGGGGAGGGGGGGGGGGGGGGAGAGAGGGAGGGGACCCAGGGGGGGAGGGGGGGAGGGGGAGGGGGGAGAGACAGGAATGAGGGAGGTATGGGGAGTATGGGGAGGGGGGAGGGCAAGCAGGCGCCCGGGAAGCCCAGGGAGGGGGGGCAGGAACAGGCCGGCGGATGGGCTCGGCTGATGACGCGTGGCGGGCGGGAGAGGAGGGGCGAGTGGGAGGGGAGGAAGGAGGATAGGATGGAGACTCACGGAAGCTGGCTGCGGTGCGGGGATAGTGCACGGTGGACATCGGGCGGTTGTGTTCAACCGTCTGGTGGGAGTCAAGGACCAGGTGATGGAGCCCGGGATGCAGTTCAAGATCCCGTTCATCGAGTACCCGTACATTTACGACGTGCGGGCCAAGCCGTACACATACACCTCGCTGACGGGATCCAAGGATCTGCAGATGATCAACGTGACGCTGCGTGTGCTGGCCAAGCCGGACGCGCGGATGCTGACGCAGATCCACCGCAAGATCGGTCCGCAGTTTGACGAGACCGTCCTGCCGTCGATCGTCAACGAGGTGCTCAAGTCGGTTGTTGCCCAGTTCAACGCCTCGCAGCTTATCACCATGCGGTCGGACGTGTCGATCATGATCGGCAAGTCGCTCCGCCGGCGCTCTGCCGACTTTTACATCCTCCTGGACGACGTCTCGGTCACGCACCTCAACTTTCCAACGAGTACGCCCACGCCGTCGAGCAGAAGAAGGTCGCCGAGCAGGAGGCCGAGCGTGCCAAGATCCTTGTCGAGAAGGCATTGCAGGAGAAGGAGTCGTCCATCATTCGCGCCAAGGGTGAGTCCGAGGCCGCCCTCCTCATCGGTGCCGCCATGTCCAACAACCCTGGCTATCTCGAGCTCATGCGCCTCGACAACGCCCGCGAGATCGCCAACATCATTGCCCGCTCCGGCAACATGGTGTACCTCAACTCGGACAACCTCCTGCTCAACCTCGTGTCCAACAAGAAGATCGAGCTTGCTGCTGAGAACGCGTAGTCGTAAAAGCCACTCTTCAGCTTCACTGTCTTCTTCTCGAGAGCTTGTTCATTGGCGCGGCTCGGCGAGCAGGGAGAGGTCATAGCACGCGTCGTCGTCCTTGCACTCCATATTGACGAGGTAGTGCGCGATGGGGAGCGAGACCTCGAACGGGTACGAGTCGTGCTGGTACTGCAAGATGTCGCGGATGACGTTGGCGGCCATGCGGCGCTTGACCATGTTGATGAGTCCGCCGTCGATCTGGTCGTCGTTGCCGTCCTCAATAAACGTCAGGTCGGTGAGGTGGACACCGAGATAGGGAATGCACGGAGGCTTGCAGATCCGGATGTGGTTGCGGAGCATGGCGTACGCCCGGTGGTTTGAGGTCAACGACTTGAGCGAGTCAAACTCGGCAATGAGCTTCGAGTCGACTCGCGCCCAAGCCCGCTTGAGCCGGCGGACCGAGGCGTTGGAGAGCCCGGCGACGACTTCCATCACTCCATTGAGGTTGTTGAGCGCCTTGAGCTCCATGGCGAGCTTGATAAAGTAGGCGATGATCTTGGCCCGCGCCTTGGGCTTGAGCTTGGTGTTCTGCACTACTTCGGTCGTCACCCACATCGTTGTTGTGTTGAAGTGGACAATGGTGCGGAAGATCGATGGCGCCGTCTTGGCCTTGTTTGGCCCGGACCAACGGTTGTTGAGGCACTCGGTGACCGGAATGGCCTGGTACATCTGCATTTCAAGGAGGCACATGTTCCGCGCGAGGTCCTTGATGTTGATCGAGAACGGGTTGGAGATGATCTGGCTCTTGGGCGGCGGCGGGAGCGACTCAAACGAGAGCTTCTTGGCTTTTCCTCTTGCGACGCCTTGAGCTTGCGGTCGAGGAGCGCGAGGAGCGACGCTGCCGGTCGCTTCATGCCTGTTGCCGTCATGATGTTCGACGCAAAGTCCTTGAGCATGGCGAGCAAGTCTTCGTTCTCCTCAAAGTCACGAAAGTACTTGTCGAGCCATCCGCGGAGCACGTTGTACACCCGCAGCCGGATGGGGACCAGCTTGCGCTTCTTGAACTCGGCTTGCGCTGCTGCATCGAGCGACGCCGGCGCCGTGATGCAGTACCGCTCAATCATCTTTTCCATCAGCGCAATCGGGTTGGTAAACGACCGGTACGTGAGCATGAATGCCTGCACGTACTCCATGTCCGGGTATTTTTCAAACGTCAGCCGCTCGACAAGCCGGTACAGCGTCCCGCACTTGACCGACGGGTAAGACGACCCGCCGCCCGCAGCGCCCGACTGCGCTTCGGCCGGAAGCTCTTCCGGTGACATAAACTTGATGTCACGCTTGTCGGCAAAGTACGCCTCGGGTGAGTCGTCGGTGAGGAGCGAGAGCGAGAGCGATGCGTCCGACTCGCCGCCCTTACCTGCCCCGTCACCGGAGCTGGCGCCCGCAGCCTCGGCCTCGGCCGCTGCAGACGCCTTGGCCTTGGCCTTGGCTGCCGCCTTGGCCTCGGCTGCCTTCTGGATCCGCGCCGCCACATCCGACGCATCGCCCGGATCCTGCAGCAGGGAGTGCAGCTCCGAGAGCTTGGCCTCCGAGTACGTGCGGCCCTTGATTCGCCGCAGCGAGGCCCGCCCGGGCTTGAACGGCGACGCCGAGCTGCCCTCACCCGACGCAGACATGTCGAGCGACATGTGGCCCGAGCCCGAGTCCTCGCCGCCGCCCGACTCGGCGCCCTGCGGCAGCTCCATGCCAAACGCCCGCCGCATCTCGGCGAACCGGTCGACATCGTCGCCGTCAAGCGTCCCGTACACCGATGCCTCGAGAATTTCCTTGGTCGCCGCGTTGAGCGAGACGTCCATGGCGTCGGGCACCAACGAGCTGTCGCCGCTCGCCTCGGCCGCCGCCCGCAGCTGCGCCAGCCGCTGCTGCAGCCGTGCGTTCTCGTCGAGCAGCTCCTGGATGCCAAAGTACAGCTCGTCGTTCTCCTCCTCCCACTCCTCGAGGAGCTTGAGCTTGGAGAGGAGCTCGTTGACCCGGAGTGAGAGCATGCCCTTCTCCTCAAGCACGTTGAGCAGCGTCCTCCGGTAGTCGGCGTTGGTAGCGGCAGACTTGGTCGCCGTCCGCGTCAACGTCTGGATCTTCATCTTGGCCCCGGTCACCTCTGCCACAAGCGCCTCGACGTCCGACGTCAGCGCCGCCGCCTCGCTCTCAAACGCTGCCTTGGCGGACTCCAGCTCGGCAATCGTCGTCCGCAGCTCGGCCATAGCCGCCTCGTTCGACGCCACCTGCGCTGCCAGTGCTGCGCCCTCGCGCGAGTTGCTCGAGTCGAGCGAAATGGCCTGTGCATCCTCCACCTTGGCCGCAAGCACCACGTTGACCTTGCGGATCTTGGCCATCTGCGCACGCAAAAACTCATTCTGTGCCTTCCACTGCGCCGCGTGCTTTTGCGAGTCACGTTCGCGAGCAAGAATCTCCTTCCGCTTCTCGATTCTCGCCCCGAGCTTCTTCTTGGACTTGCGCGCCTCAGCCTTGGTCGCCAGATTCGCGTTGAGCGCCGCGGTCAGCTTGTCCATCTTGGCCTGGGCCTCGGCTCGCTGCGAGTCCACCAGTTGGATCTGCCGCTCGAGCTGTGCGTTCTGCGTCTGCCACAGCTGGGCGTTTTCCATCGTCGCCTTCAGTTCAGTCCACTGCTGCATGAGCGTTGTCTTGTCGTCCAGTAGCTGCGCGAGCTGCGTCCGCATCTCCTGCATTCGGCTCATCGAGTTCTCCGAGTTTTCCAACTCCTGGAGCCGAATGTTGAGCGCGTGCTTCTCGATCACCAGGTGCTGCAGCTTGATCCGCACCTTGCGCTGCACGTGCTCGGCCTCGGACTCGGCCTGCCGGATGTGCTCAATGAGCATTGCCGCCTCGGCCGCCTCCTCTGCTGTCCGCGGTGGGGCCTTGGGCCGTGGTGGCGGCACCGGCTTCACACTCCGCGCCATAGCCTCGCCGCCTGACGCCGAGCCCGAGCCCGATTCGCCGCCCTCGCCCTCGCCGCCTCTCGTCGCAGCCACCTGTTCGGCGAGCTTCTCATTTTCGGCCTGCAGCGCCTCGGCGCGCTCGGTCAGCCGCCGCCGCTCCGAAATCTGCGACGCAAGCTTGAACTTGACCTTTTCCCGGAACGTCTCCATGTCCGCCTCGGCCTGCTCTAGCTCAGCCTTGAGCTCGAGGTTGGCCTTTTGCGCATGGCTAAAGTTTTGGCTTTCGCTGCCTGACGCCATGAGCCCTTCTCGTGCCACCGTCGTCCAGAAAACCAGGGGTATGGGGGTGCGGGGAGAGAGAGAGAGGAAGGGAGTGGGGAATGGGGGGGGGGGGGGGAGGGGAGGGAGGGGAGGGGTGACGGAGGGTGGTGGGGGGGGGGGGAGGGGGAGGGGTAGAGAGCGGTGGGCACAAAAGGGGGGGGAGGGAGGGAAGGCTGCCTGGCCTGATCGCCTCGACCTGCCAGTCGGCCAGGTTGTGGCGGTTGGGGAGAAAGGGCGAAACATGACGGCGGGAAGGCCAAAAAAAATGACAATATGCGTCGTTCACGCAGCAATCACAAGACCACGCAGTGGTGCACGGAGGGCGGGAGGGGGCAGGGGGAAGTCAGGCGGTCAGAGGGATCGGTTTTACTCGATGTCTCGGCACTGCTCGCTTGCGTTGATGGTTCGGCGTGGCGAGCGATGGATGGCTTGCGTGAGGAAAGGCTGGCCAGTGGCTGGCGCTACAGTTGCAAAAGGTTGACGACAGCCGCCTGCTGGTGCAGCTCCACTTTCGTCACCGACATACGGCGGCAGTCCGGCTCCACTACTCGGCAACAAAGGAAAACGGACGGACAATGTTGAGCATGTGGCGGACCGACTCGGTGAAGCGGTCCGAGGCAGCACGGCAGACCATGATGGCCTCCTGCAAGCACACCTCCTTGACGCAGTTGTACACGTTGCGGTGGAGGGCGAGGCCGTCCTGCTTCTCCTCAGTAAAGTGCTCCGAGTCGTCGTTGGCCTTGAGGACGGCGGCGTCGTGGTGGCGATGGTCATAGAGGATGGTGAGGTACGGCTCGATGTCGCTGCCCGGGTCGAGGCGCGAGGCCGCCGGCGCCTCTGACGCTGCAGCCTGGTCGAGAGCCTGGCGGATCTTGAGGACAGCCTTCTTGGCAGAGCGGCCGGCGTTCCACTTGGAGTAGCCGAGCGAGAAAGAGGGCGCGAGGAGGCAGAGCTCGGCGTGGAGAGCGTCCTCGAGCGAGCGGTCCTTGACCCGAACACCAGTGAGGCGCGGGACTGAGGCATTGGTGGGAATCATGTTGATGCCAATGCGCGCGAGCTTAATCATGAACAGGTATGGCGAGAGCCGCGAGTTGCGCAGCTCCTTGAAGCAGTCGTCAAGCGGCTTTGTGAGCCGGCAGTAGCCCTCACCAATCTCGACGACAATCTGCATCTCGCCGCCCATGAGCGAGAGCATGGCCTTGTTGGGCTCGGCCGGCGCAAGGAGCCAGTGCTCAAACGGAAGGTCAATGTAGCGAGGCTGAAGGAGGGCGGTCGGTGCGGCGTGGATGGTTTCGAACGAGAGGACCCGTGTGACTGGGTCAAAGGTCGAAGCCTCGATGCCGTCGGTCCGCCAAATGCCGACCTGCGCGTCCCACCAGCCAAGCAGCGGCGACTTGGAGCGGACAAAGACAGCGTCGGGGACGATCCATGTGATCTTGATGCGCTTCCACGACGGCGACGGCGCAACCGGTGCCGAAGCCGGGTCGGTCCCGGGCGGCACAATCGGATAGCCGAGCCGGCGAACTGTGTGGGCGAGCTCGGTGACCGGGCGCAGCGTCCAGCCCTTGAGCGTCTTGGGCGACGGCGGAACGTCGAGCAGGTCAAAATGTAGGATGCCGCCAAGCGTCATGTATTCATCCGAGACCGAGGTCGGCGTTAGGTTGTCCCAGTTGGTGTGGACAAACCGCATGGCGACAGAGGCGAGGGCAAGGCCCTTTGAGATGGACGTGGTGATGCCGACGTCGCGGAACTCGCGCGACTTGACCCGCAGGTTCTTGGCGACGTTGACCCAGAGCGCGTAGCGGACGTCTGGGAGCGCCACCTCAACCTGGCACTCCAGCTTGTCGTCGGTAAATGCGTCGGCGTGCTGGATGAGGTGCGCGGTGAGGGCATCGATCTTGGTCGTCGCCACCGACCGGAGCTCGGCAACCTTGGCCTCCAGCCGCGCCATGGCCGCGGTGTCGCTCCGCTCAAACGCGCGTGCGAGGACTCGCTCAATGTCAGCCACAACCACGTTGGACTCTTGCACCTTGTTGAGCGCCTCGACGTGGTCTGCGACAGAGGCTTCGGCCCAAAGTCGGAGGTACGTGTTCATCTCGCGCTCAGACCGCGGGTCCGGCAGAGGCTCGCACTCGACGTGGCGCGCCCACGCCTCGGCAGCTTCGGCGTCCGAGTCCCACAGCTCAACCTCGACCGTCCGTTCACCGAGCCAGACCTGGATCTCTGCGTGCTCCTCCTCACGCTTCTCCTGCTCCTCCTCGAGCTTGAGCTTCATCAGCTCGCGCTCCTTGGCCTGCCGCGCCTCCTCTTCGATCCGCTCGCGCTCCAGCCGCGCATACTCTTCAATCAGGGCCAGCCGCTGCGCCTCAGCCTCGGCTTTGGCCAATGCTGCCCGCTGCTTCTTGGTCATCTTCTTCTTTTCCGCTTCTTAGTCTTCTTGCGCCCCACGCCGCCGCGCGACGTTGTGCCGTTGTCCGCCATGGCAGTGTAGGGGGAAGGGGGGAGAAGGTGACAGAGGGGGAGGGAGACAAGAGGGACAGAGAGGTTGGAGTATGGGGAGGTGAGGAGGACGCACTCGATATGGCACGTTGGGTGGTAGGCGCCGTCGTGGTCGTAGGTCCGTCGGGCTGTAGGGGGGGAGGGGGAGGGGGGGGGAGGGGCACGTCGGGCGCGAAGGACTGCGTTCGTTGACAGCAGTGCCGCAGCAGGGCGTTTGGGGGAAGGGGGGGGGGGGGGTGGGGGTGTGAGGGGAGTTGGTGAGAGAAAAAATATTCGGTCTCGGTGGAGAAATGGTGGGTAACGCAGAGAGGGCGGGGGAAGGGGGGGGGGCGAGAAACGGACAGTCTTCCCGGGGTAAGGCACGGTGGCTTGTTTGTAGAACAACAGAGGTAACTTGACTCAGGTCCTTGGCAGGGACGACCAAGCGCAGCACATGCCACCTCCCGTGGCATCCCGTGCATACGGGCCGGCTGAACGAACTCTGTATGTGGCTGTGGTGAGCGTTCTGTAGCCTGTCACCGTCCCCCCCTGTCCCCCTCCCGCCCTCCTTCCTTGCAAGTCAATAGCAACCCGGGATGACGTCCACCATTTCGTTTGGCCAATAGGCTCACGCGTGAGCGGGGGATATATCCCTTCGCGTGTGGCTAGGGATGGGAGTGGGTGAATAAGCTTGGAGAACAGGGAAGGAGTGTGAGCAGGACATTTGCACTTACTCTTGTGTGGCTTGGTTGTGATGGCGGTGGCTGGTGACGGCCGAATGGCGTGGTGCTGGCCTCTCGCTGTGGACGTGCGGGGATCTCGGGGGGGGGGGTCTGTCTTGGCCATGCGTCCCTCAACAGATATGTTGGCTCGCTGGATTTGAGAGTGACTCGCGAGGAACTGGAGCAGGTTGCGCTGGACGCACTGGCCGAGGCCGAGGAGGCGCTTGCGAGTGAGTTTGGGGGAGGAGGCGGCAGCAGCAGCAGCAAGCGGGGGCTCTCGTCAGAGCCGAGCGGGCGCGCCGGGCGCAAGGGCGGGAGTCGGACGGGCTCCAGCGGGCGCGGGGGCCGAAAGAGTAGGGGCAGTCGGCGGTCGTCGTCGCAGTCGGGCGGACGTGCGAGCTCGTCGCTCGGCACGGTTGTCTCTGCCAAAATCATTCTGGATGCCGAGACGCACGGGTCTGCCGGGTATGGGTTTGTGGAGTTTGAGACGCGCGAAGGTGCACAGGCAGCAATGCCGATTCTCCAGGGCCGGCGAGTGCGTGCGCTGCGGATCCGAATTAATTGGGCGGTGCAAGGCTCGCGGCGGGTGGCGGACGAGGACGGGCTGCACTCGCTGTTTGTAGGCGACTTGTGCAAGTCTGTGGACGACGACATGCTGCACGATGCGTTTGCGCATTTTTCGAGCCTCACGTCGGCGCGGGTGATGTGGGACGTGCGAACCGGGACGTCGCGCGAGTTTGGGTTTGTCTCTTTCCGCGACGCCAGTGACGCCGAGCGTGCGCTCAAGACCATGGGTGGGACGATGCTGGGGCGGCGCCCGATCCGGGTCAACCGAGCCAACAAGAAGACGCACTCGAAGAACACTGCCGTGGGCACGGCAGCGGTGATGGTGGAGCGTGCGCCGAGCACAGGAACCGGGGTCAAGGTTCCGACCGGCTCACGCGACGGCACTCTCGTCATGTACACCGACGGCGACTTTGGGAGGCTCTCTGCGCTCGGGCGCGGCTCGTGCGAGCTCTTCCTCTCCAAGCTCAAGTCGAAGATGTCTGTGGGCGAGTTTGAGGCGGCGCTTGCCAAGCACGGAGTCATTGAGACTATTGTGTACAACCGCAAAAAGGGCACGTGCCGGGTCACATTTGAGTCGCACCACCAGGCTGTTTCTGCCATCATCGGCCTGCACGGGTGGGCGCCGGCCGGCTGCCCACCGCTGCAGGTGGCGTGGTCCAACTCAGGCCGGTCGCGGTCGCTGCAGCGGACGGCGTCGGCGCCGATGGGACCGGCCAGTGGCAGATTTGGCGAGCGTGGGCGGAGCGGCGACTCGGCCGACGCGTCCCGTTGTGCTGGATTGACTGACACGCGTCCGCCGTCGTACCTCGCGCCGTCGGCGTCGATGGCGTTTGACGCCTACTCGGGCCTCGGCTCGGGCCATGGCTCGGGCGAGGTGAGAGACTTGTACGCGCCGAGGCGCGGGAGCTCGCGGCGAAGCCCGCTGAGCGGCGGAAGCAGTACCAGTCATCAGTCGTCGGCGTCGATCTCACCCGACGCGATGGCGTACGCGCCGCCGCCGGGCTTTGTGAGCGCGGGCGGGTCGGCGCCGAGCATGGCAGCGCCGGGCTTTGGCGGCTATGGTCCGCCGCCAGGCATGGGCGGCGCCGCCGGGGTGGCGCCGGGCAGCAACGGGTTTGTGTACCCGGGCTACCCGATGCCGTTCGCGGCACCTGGGCTCGGCGGCTTTGTCCCAGGCATGTCGGATGCGATAGCCGGGCGCGACCCGTGGGCCTCACCAATGTTTGCCAACTCGACGGGCCTGTCCGGCTCGGGCATAGCGACCGGTCGCAACGGGAGGCCACTGTCGTACCCGCCGCGGGCCAATCAGTCGGAGCCGTCGAGCCCAACAGGCGTGGTTGCGCCCCCACTGGGCCGCTGCTGAGCGTGCCTGGTGACCGCGGCGAGCGCGGCGACCGGTCGCCGTCACCCTTCAACAACCAGCGGACCGGGACGACCGAGTCGCTCTCATCACGCTCGCCGTCGCCAACGCTCTACTCGCGCTCGCTCTCTGCCCAGTCGAGCACCTCGGGCCTCGCCGGTCTCGCGGCATCGCTCAACCTAGTCCCGCCGAGTCGGACCGGCGGTGCACCGCCGCCTGACGACGGCGAGGAAACGCCTGAGTCTGGCGAGGCGTCACCGACGCTCGGCCTTCGGCGGTCGTCGTCGCTCACCACCACGGGCGAGTCGCTCGCCTCGCTCAACCGGTCGCACTCGGAGACCGTCCCGCCGCGCTCGGTCTGGACCGACGACCGCATCTCTTTCCCTTCTATGGGCGGCGCCGCCGGCGCGCCCTCCTCTGTACCTGTCCTCCTCCTCCCGCATGCTTCGCTCTCACCGCACGTCTCGGACGACCAGTCCTGGCTCCCATCGTCGCCCTCGCTCCATAAGTCGCGGTCGATGACCGACGTGCGCTTGGCGCAATTGGCGTTTGAATCGGCACAGGAGCCCGCAATGGCTGCTCGCCCGCGCAATGGCGCTCCTCCACCGTCCTGAGTGCACCAGCCCTCCGCTCCAGCAGTCCTAGGAGCACGGCTGTCATTAAAGTCGCGGGAGCGCAGGCGCAGTGTGAGGGGGGGCGGGCATGGCTTTGGCTGTACTAGACTACCTGCTTGGCTGACAGGCTAACACGTTGGATCAGCTGCGACGTGCAAAGCGCCGGCGCGGCTTGGGCTTGGATGAGTCAGAGCCAGCGCCGGCGGCAGCAACGGCGGCATCGGCAGCATGCTTGGCGGTGGGGGCCGAGGCCGAGGCCGAGGCCACACGCGGGCGGCCGGCGACCAGGCGGTCGGCAACACCAGCCACCTTCCAGTCGTGGGCAACCAGGACGAGGTTCTCCTTTTCTGCGGCAAAGATCTTGGGCATGTCCTGGGGCATACCCGGCTGGCCGCCGGCCTGGCCCATCTGCTGCTTGAGCAGCTTGGAATCGTCGGCGGCGTTGCCGTCGGACAGGATGATGTCGAGGATGCCGCGGAGGCCAAAGAGGTTGAGAAAGTACCACGAGAGTGAAGAGACGTACGCCACGTTGAGGTCCGAGAGCTGGATGCCCTGCTGGAGCATGGCCTTGAAGGGCGAGGTGAGTGGGAAGGGGACGCGAAGGATGACAAAGCCAGAGAAAAAGTAGTTGACGATGCCCATGGTGAGGATCTGCGGGACAATCATGGCCATCTGCGACGACATCATGTTCGACATGGCCGGGTTGTTGGCCATGGCATCGAGCGCGTTGACCTGCTCCCGCTCCTGGTTGTACATCCCGTGCTCGCCATCGATGAAGAACTGCCGCCGCCGCTCAAACGCCGCACGCGGCAGCCAGTGCCCATGCGCCTCCAGTAGCTTGCCACGGCGGACCAATTGCCTGTGCGTGTGTGGAGATAAAGAGAGAGAGGAGGTTGGAGGGGGGTAGAGGACGTCCAT